GTCCGTAGAAGAATACAATCGAGAGTTTGAAGAACTCTTGATGCGGTGTGATCTCCAAGAGAATGACTCACAAACCTTTGTGAGATATCTCTTTGGCCTAAACACCCAAATCGCCAACACAGTGGAGCTGCAAACCTTTGAGAACCTTGAAAAGCTAACCAAGTTAGCACTTAAGGTGGAAGCCCAACTCAAGAAGGGCAAATCTTCTTTGAGCCGTGGCAATTTTTCCTACCCTAGTACATCAAATTCCACCCCCCTTGCTGCCCAAAATCTCACAGATCCCTCCCCTCAAAATCCTAAAACTGTGCACCCTATTTCATCACCCAATGCTTCTCCTCTTTCAAAACCAAGTTCCTCAAGTAGCCGAGTCTCAAAGTGTTTTCGTTGCCAAGGCGCTGGTCACTTTGCTAGTGACTGTCCAAACAAGAAGATCATGGCTACTGTTGAATGTGAAGAAGAAGAATTGAATCCATTTTGGATTCAAGGAGAGCCGAACGAAGAAGAAGAAGTTGTTGGTCCCGATGAAGGTGAACTTTTGGTCATTCAAAAGACCATTAGTCATGCGGCTGCCCAAGACGATACCATACACCGAGAGAGTATTTTTTGTACTCGTTGCACCGTTCAAAAGAAGGTGTGTTCAATGATCATTGATAGCGGGAGTAGTGCCAATGTTGTTTCCAAAACAGCGATTGAAAAGCTCAATTTAAAGGAGATGCCACATCCGAAGCCTTATGAGATTCAATGGTTGAATCTTAACGAAGGGATACGTGTGAATACACGTAGCTTGGTTTCCTTTAGCATGGGTCAGTCCTTTCATGAGGACGTATGGTGTGATGTGATACCCATGAGAGCTTGTCATATTCTCCTCGGGAGGCCCTGGTTATATGATCGGAGAGTTACCTACGATGGTTTTGCCAACTCGTATCAGAGGAATAAAGCCCAAGTGTGGTGACATTAATTGGGTTGAAACTTCTCCATTTTCCTGTCTTAGAACCCAACCCAACACCGTGGTTGTCCTACACCCACCCTAGGCTGAGCCCACACTCTGCATACCTTCCCTAAACATCCAAAATATTTTCTTTTCAAAATAAAGTTTTCCTACTCCTATTTTAGGCCCTGGCCGAAAATAAGAGTGTGTAAACCACAACCTTTGTTTGTTGTTATTTTCTTTCTTTTAAACCTTTTAATAAACAAATAAAACCTTCTATCCTTTTCTATAAATCCTAGGCCAAATATCCCTCATTATCCCAACACAACATCTACCAAGATATTCCCCATTCTTGTCCCCTTTATGTTCCCTACTAGGGCTGAATAAACAACCACAAAAAGCCAAGGGATATTTGTGATTACTTTGACCTTTAAACCACCAAAAAAAGTCACCATATAAAAGCCATATTTCTCACACCCCACTGTCCCCCACTATGGCCGAATGAATCATTCCCCAACCACCAAATANAGGCCTATTGTAATGCTCAGTTTTTATTCTTCATTTCAAGATAGAAATACACTTATTGTATTCTATTTTCAAATCCTAATTTCTATATCTTAAGGTTGGTTTCCTTAAGTGTGAGTGTTAGGTTCTAGTTATTTAATTAAGTGTGTCATATCTTAATTAAATTCTAGATTCAAACCCCAAGTTAGGATAAGAGTGTGTAATATCTCTTAAACACCAACTTGGTTTATCCATCACTATTTTCTATCCATTCCTTTTCCCACCATTTCTATCCTTAATCTCCTTTCTTTTCTTATATTAAAAATACCAAAAGAACTCCTTCATCATCTCCATATATTTCCAGCCCATTCCCCACAAAAAAAAAACACCCTTCTTCCTGCCTAGAAAAACTGTCAAATAATCGATTATTGCTACTGGAAATCGATTATCTCCACTTGCCTACAAATAAAGAGGTTTTTAACTATAAAACCCGGAGCTGAGATATAACATTTGGTATCAGAGCTTTGTGTTGAACATCCCTAAGGGATAATCTGCACACGCCTCCATCATCTCTTTGTTACTGTCATAAAGATCAGCCTCAACACCATCTCTCTTTTCTCTTCCTTCTTTGGTATTTTCGGCCAAAGAGAGCCCTAAAAACCACCCATCATTTCTTACCATTCTAGCTACTGCTCCATTCTCTTCCTCTTCTTTCACACCCTTCAAGATGTCAAACACCTCTGTAATCATCACCAATGAAGAGCTGTGGGCCTCAAATACAGAACTCAAGACCCAAGTGGAGTACTTGGCTAAGCAGATTGCTCAACTCACCAACAAATTCAAAATGAATATGATGAATACCCGTGAAGAAAGTAAAGATGAGCAAGAGGAAGACGTCCAATAAGGAGTTCCTTCTCCCACCATGAGGAGAAACAACCAAGAGAAGTCCCCCTCTGACTTCAAGGTCGAAATGCCAACCTTTGATGGAAAAGATGACCCGGATGATTTCATCGAATGGTTAGAGACGATTGAACGCGTCTTTGACTATACCGAAGTGCTGGAGGACAAGAAGGTCAAGCTTGTGGCCTTAAAATTCAGAGGCTACGCATCTACGTGGTGGACTAACACTACCACCAAGCGCAAAAGAGAAGGCAAAGCTGCTGTTCAAACATGGACCAAGATGAGGGCTTTATTGAAGAAGAAGTTCATTCCCACTCATTATATAA